TATTCAGATCCACACCATGTAATCAACGGTGTGCCGCAAGAAATATGTTCGCTTCTCGTCTCTTCGTATTGTATATATCGGATGTTTGAAAAGTAACTCCATTGCAGATGCCAAAAACTCTTCTAAAATCCATTAAAACAATTGGATCAGTATAAACAAGATCCGTGTATAATCGAATGGTGGACATTTCAGCTGAAACTACTTGAACAGAAATTTACAGTGATTTATGTGAGAAAAAAATTAGCAAATGATAAACTACAAAATAAATAAAATCATCTAAATAGAGTTACCCAACAGAAAGATTTGGGAGTATATGCAAATAAGGCTCTACTTTTCAGAAACTAAATCTATTTGTGTTAGTTTAGTTTGAAGCCGAGGGGTAAACTACTAGTCGAGCTACTAGTGGGAATCACGTAGGAATCATGAATGCATTGGCAATCGCTGAGAATCATGTGGTAATAGCTAGGAATATCAACTCATTCTAACCCAGAAATCACATACCTATCATACATTTTAAACGATACAGCGTAGGTACCGGGTAGCGTAAAGCCAAACCCCTGTATAGTACAGAGCGCGCGGTCCAGAAGATGCTCTGTATCACTCGGGGTTTTATTTTTGATTACGCTGGGTCGCGTCGAACAATTCGTACAAATCCCTGTATAGTACAGAGCTCGCGGTCCACAAGATGCTCTGAATCACTCGGGGTTTTGTTCATGATTATGGTGCGTCGCATGTGACAAATCCCAGTGTGTTACGGAGCACGCATGCCTTTTATACACGTTTTACGCAGGAAAGGACTTGCTATATAGTCGGATTTTTCGATGAGCCCATATTTGACTCTAAAAACGTATTTCTTTCTCATCAACAATAATTATGATACTTTAAAATTTTGACGATAATACTGCAAATACAAGTTTTTTTTGTAAGTTTATTGTGGTGATCCGGGGTTTAAAACAAGACATGAAATTAATAGAGAATAGAGATAACGGAAAATGAAGTCAATACTCTACTATCATCGAAAAACCCGACTAAATACCTAAGAGTTATTTACATTTTGCTGATCAAGTATTTTTGAAGCAAAAGTCGCACATTAGTTTTTGGTATACCAAGGCCGCGAAATGCCTTTTTAGCGTACGCGGAGAAAAGTTATCTTGCCTCGCAACGTAAGATAATCTCGAGTACCTACGTTAAAAAGTTTCGCGGTCATGGTATATACACTATATTTTTTCTGCAACTATAAAAATTATGTTTGGTAAGTTACAGAAAAACTGTATGGATTTGGCAAGAATTTGGCACATTTCGCACGTAAGGTGTGGCTGCCGCGAAAGCTCATTTCGCGGAAGGTTGCATAAAAAATATACTAATATTGTAATAACAATACCTAACTCTATTTTTATTGAACAAGAAATACAGAATATTCTGATTCAATAAAATTTTGCGTTTGGAAGCTTGTTCTTATCCAAGTGTGGCACGGAGCACGCCTTCCTATTTTACACGTTTCACGTAGAAGAGGAGTTGCTATATAGTCGGATTTTTTCGATAAGCGCATATTTGACTCTGGAAAAGTATTTCTTTCTCATCGACAATTATCATATGGTCTATTTTTTCCCAAGATAGATTTTGACATTGTCAACTTTGAAACATAAACAATACCTCTTGGCCCTGATTGGTCGCAAGATTAGGTGTCCCTGCAGATTGACATCAGTTTTACAATGCATGCCGTGCAAATGACATCTTGCGACCAATAAGCGGCATTGTTTATGTTTCAAAGTTGACAATGTCAAAATCTATCTTGGGAAAAAATAGACTGTAGGTACTTTAAAATTTTGACAATACCTAATAAGTAGGTACGGCAAAGAGATACAAGTTTTTTAAAATTTATTGTAGTAGTTCGTGGTTTAAAACAAGACATGAAATGCCTAGAGATAACAGGAAATGATGTCAATACTCGCATCGAAAAATCTGATTATAAATACAACAAGAAATACTTACAGAATATTCTGGATTAATACAATTTTGCGTTTGGAAGCTTTACACGTTTTGGACCACGCGCTCTGTACTACATAGGCGTTTGGCTTTACGCTACCAGGTACCGGTCAGTTGTGTATTTGCCTTTTAGATTAAGTTTTAGGAAACATTGAGTGCTAGACAATTTGAAATGTATTTGATATCCCAACGAGTTTCCCAATCCAATAACTGACTACGACTACGAAGAGTTTAGAACTTGAAGTAGAAAAAGAACGAGATGAAGATTAGGTCTATTCTCACAGAAATCAGAAACCAGTCAGAGCGCTTTCGATTGGTGCAAATCAACAACCAGTTTTCTAAGAAAAAGTTGGGAATCCAAGGCAATAAGAACTTGAAAAGGGAAAGTAGAATAAATACTAGGCAGGGCGAGAAGCAGAGACGATAGCACATCTGAATCAGAGTTAAAAATAAGTTAGTCGAGTGAAACCCTAATTGAAGATGTCTCTGATCCAGATGAACATCCTAGTGAAACCAAAGAAATATTTATTATTTTAGATACATATTATGTAGTGTAGATACGCAATGGTATCTAGGGCTCAACAACTATTTATACCTACAACAAAATCGGTGTGGGTTAGTTTGGGTTAGTGAATGAAAATAGAAGTTGCTAACTTTTGGAAGAGTGCCAAATACAGAAGTTTGCCAATTTTTCAGTGGAAACCTGTTTTTATAAGAAAAAAAACTGTTTATTTTGGTCATAATATCAATGCGAAGCTTAACAATTATCGTTCTCACAATAAAATCAGCTGGAAATCGGATGATTGTAGGAAATCATCGAGGAAATCAGGTAATCAATTGGGAATAATATAGGAATACGCGCAGAAAAAATGGAAATCACCTGGTAATCATACAAAAATATCTGAAAATCATTGGCAATCAGTCGCAATTCTTGGGATGGGAATACATATGAGATTCATTGATGATTGCCAAATATGGAAATCATTGTACATTTGTAAGCATAGTGGTTGACCCCCTCGGTTGAAGCAGAAATACTCAAGTAGATAAAAACTCTAAGCTTTCAGACTATCAAAACAGAAACATTTTGATATAGAAAAAATGAAAAAATGAAAAAGTTGCAAAAGTTGTTGTCGATTGCAATTTATCAGATAATCAAAAAAGCTGGCAACGCCGTAATTTAGCCAATCGACGCTTGTCGTCGACGTCGTCGACTGACGCCACGACGTTTTCCGTTAAAGCTCCTCCGGAGCTTTCTGATGACGTCTAAAGCACGCGTCCTGCGTCACGGGCCTTCGCTACTGCTGCTGGAAACGAGTGGCTGTTTATAAACATTATTTATCTTTTTTTTTCTTCTTGTTTTCTTTTCCTTTTTCAAGATATTACAACTACACGTGCCCAGGTGGGTGGGCGGGCGGGTGCGCGAGGAAGGGACATCGGGCCCCTATACACTTCTTCCTTATTTTCTTGTATGTAGTTAAAGGGTTCGTTTTTATTCACGTTTCGTTATGAATTTACTTAAGGAATTTACTTGCTTCTTCACTGATTGGAGACATTCGTTTTTGGATTTTTGGAAAAGTTTTGATATTAAAATTCGGGCGCATAGATGAGTTAGCTTTTTTCTATCATGGGATAAACGGGGGAATTTGATGTGGAGATTTAGTTTTCAATTAGAACTTCTGGAACTGGTGGAAAAAACACATTAATCCGAACACAAAAATTCCTGTTTCTCAAAAAGTCTCCATTGTAGCTTAATTCTTTCGCCTTAGCGCCCTCTTAAAATAAGGGATTTAAAAGTAATTCTTGTCATTCACTTTGATAAAATTTATGGAGGTTCGCGCTAATTCCTATGTTAAATTTAAGTATAGGTAGGAGCCTATTTATTGTCCAAAAAAAAAGCTGTCCTGTATATCAAGCTACAACGGCATTATATTATGATATAGAAATTGCTAAATTAGAATCCAGAACACGCGCTGCTAACAAATATTCCCCAAAGCAGAATGGGGGGCGAGGGGGGGGGGGCGTTGGAGCCCTTTTAAAGGGAAAACATAAATGTTTTGCAAAATCGCGGCTCATTTGAACCAAATGGCAACGTTGTACTGACACGAGTTATCGCGCCATTTTGCAATTTACTTTCTAACGGAATTTTTATAACGAATTTAATTAAATTTTGAAGTTTGAAAACAATGCGATAGCTAATGAACATTTTTGAAAAGTTCATGTTTAATAGAAATTCGTGAATTATTGTTAATTTTTAATGTGCTTTATGGTGATAGGAAGGTATGACACAATAAGAACTTTGTTATTATCAAAAGGAATTACATACATAGGTACTTGAATTTGCATGAAAGATGCGACTCCTAGTAGGTATACCTACTTATAGGATATAGATACAACATGAAAGTTTTAATACATAATTCTGTTTAAATTTCTTTGCTGATCGTTGTGTTATAATGTACCTCCTATACACAAAGAGATTCAAAGCCCGATAAAACTTGAATTTGGTCGAAAAACAACTGGAAGTTGCGTTAAAAGTTTACTTGTGAAAAAGAATAACAAATTAACCGCATAAAACATTCAAATTTAAGTAATTTTTTAAAAAATAGGTAAGTACTAACTATTTGTAGAAGATAGAAGTACAAAACCGTTACTACCTATTTAAGAGTTTTTGAAAATTTGTAACATGAAGAGTTGTCGAAAAATAAATACAAGAGTTTTTTCTTTTAAAAAAATAATTTTGGTAGAAAAATCCAACTTTGTATATGATTGTAATGTTTAAATCAGTTTCGATTTTACGTAGAAATTTAGAAAAAAAATCAAAAACAAAAATATATAATTCTTAAAGCTACCTTTACTTTAGTTTGTTTGCAATTTACCCAAAAAAGTCAACGGTTTTAAAATTTTAATTACACACATTCACAATTAAAGCGCATCATGCAAAATTTTAAATAAAAAAAAAATTACCGCTCTGTCTGAGTAAGAATACAAACCAAAAAATAATAAATAAATCCACTAACCATTTAGTAAAAAGTGTTTGTCCTGTCCGAAAACAACAACATCAACAACAAAAAAAAGTTTCGGTTTGATAACGATACGAAAAAAATAAATAAAGTGTTCGTAAAACACTAAACAACAAACACACACTGCACACAGCCACGCACGGGATGCTTTCAACTGGCAGCCACGGATTTACGCACACTTTGAAAGCTCCGCGTCGCGCGCTTTGCCGCACATCTGTCGCTAATTCGCACCAATCGCGGTACGTTTCGTCCTTTTTACGTTCGGCACACGGAGCTTTCGTCCTGCCGGTAAGGATCGGCTAAGGTCGGAACTTTCGCAGCTTCGCGCGCGATCGTTGGTGCAGCGTTTCGCGCTGTTCACAAATCGAAGTGGTTGTTCTAATTTGCGGACTGCAATCACCTGGGAAACCCGTTGCGATTGCACTGAATGGATTTGTGTGATTTATGATTGTCTGTCATTAGGATTTTGGAATTCGTCCATACTTTGATAATAATAATAATAATAACTTTTGACCATATGCTTGAATCACTACAGCATCTATAGAAGGATATTGCGACATACAAAAGTACATGTAAGGGAACACCATGTCATACCAATAAACTGGAAACTAAGCCTAAGATGAAAAACTGTAGGAATAAGATACTGATACTTATAGACAACTATGGTTATAAATTGTTTGATAACCTAAAGAAATCTCTAGGAAGTCTATTTAGAAACCCTCAGATAATAAGCAAGCCAAATGCAAACTTATTTACACAAGTAACTGAGAATGCGAAACAACTACCTATCTGAAGATTTTGAACACGAGGATTTCATGCGGTTGTAATAGCTGGGGTAAATGGAAGTTCTAATTTAATAGATGTAGATAACCTAATCAAGTCTACACAACACACCAACTTAATTTTGTGCACAGTACCAATCAGGCAAGATTCCTTCCTACCATTTTAAAAGGATTAATAAAAATAATAAAGGAATAATGCAGCTCACTCAATATCAAGAGTAAGAGTAATTGACTTATTCTATTTCAAAAATAAACCCAATTGTTATTCTAGAATCTTTCCAAACAACATGGAAGAGTTTATATGGCTGATTTGGTAGCGAAAGTGTTGGTCGGAGGTATTTCCTTCCTTGATAGATCCGTTAATGATGTTAGGAGGATAGAGATTTGTGATGATAAGCTAGACGAAGATGTTGATAATGGAGAAGTCGATGAGTGTACGTTAAATTTGGTTGAACGACTGTAAAGTTTACGTGGCACAAGAGTACAATAGAATGTTTTGAGGGAGGATTTAAATGGTGTCAGAGCAGAATCATCTTAGGAGTTTTTAGGGGAGAAAATAGCAACAATTTAAATTTAAATACTGATAATAGCAAGTTGAAATATCAAAATGAAACACTTCTCAACATTCAATCATTAAATAAAAAAGCAGATGAATTGTTACTATTTGTGGAGCATGTCGAATTTCCAGATTTTTCTTTATTCACAGAACACTGGGATTAAATCAAACCAACCCATACATATACCTAATTATAAGATCATTTCATTATACCGTAGAGATCAGTCTAAGGGAGGTGGCACAGTAATACTTGTAAATAAGTACTCTAATGATTCATATAGCCTCGAATGAATATTACTGTACAACAATCTAATTGAAAATGGTTTTGAATTTTGTATAATACATGAAAAACAAAATAATGTCTATGTATATAATTTGCATATATCGGTCACCAAAACATAATAACATTAATATGTTCCTGCAAAATCTGGAAATTCTTAAGTCCCAACTACCTATAAGCTCTAAAATAGTTTTAGCAGGAGACATAAACATTAATTTTGATGAAATACAAAACACAGTAACAGTAACATAGAATCTTCTATATTTGCTAATGTCTTTCAATTTAAGAATATTTGTTGAAGAAGCAACACGAGTGACTTTCCATTCTGAAAATCTAATAGATTATGTATGCTCAAATTTTCATTTTGACGGGTTTAATTGCAAAGTTATTCCTGCAGGTTTATCAGATCATCACTCAGTGCTGACAGGAATTTAGAATGGATCAAAAATCCAATGTTAAAATTAGTAAAATCGGTAGAATCTATAGCAGTAAAAACTATCAGAAATTTGGCTCACAGTGCAATAGTTTTGATTGGAACTCGATTCTAAATAACCCGGACCCAATATTTAATTTTCGTGCTTGTCCTCTACAAAAGATTAAGTTTAAGCGGAGAAAGTTATGGATTACTCCAGCGATAAAAGTATCAGCAGGAAACACGAGGTGCCTTCATGAATTGAAAAAAATTCAAACACAGAATGCTTTTTTCGAAAACTACTTTCAAAATTATAGAAAAAACTACACACAAGTTATAACGGCTGCTAAACAGATTTATTGTGAACAACGACTAGACGAGTCACAAAACAGAAACAGGGAAAACAAAGTAGACTACTCATCAAGTTCAACTGTCGCCTAACTAACGAACTGGACGATTTTTTCTGTTCAGTTTAGGAAAAATGAACACAACACTTGGAACAAAAGATAAATCCTTTAGAATACTTACCTACCTGAAAACATCACTGAAAATTTCCATCTAACAAACACAGATTTGCTTGAACTTAAGCACATTTTAAGGGATATAAAGAAGAAAAAATAGGCTGGAGCTGAGGACATTTCAATAAATACCATCATGGCTCTTCCTCCTGATACGGCACTTCATGCTCTAGCTGAGATGATAAACCATATTTCATACAGGAACTTTTCCAGAATGCCTAAAGACAGCTTTAGTGGTCCCCATTTTCAAAACTGGTAGTACATCAGACCGCAATTTCTCTGTTATCAGCTGTGTCAAAGATCATTGAAAAGATAATTAAAAGAAGAGTAGTAGAATTTTTTGAAAATTATAAGGGACCTACTCTCTGAGACTCAATTTGGTTTTCAGAAAGGTAAAGGCACCATGGATGTCATATTTAATCATTTGGAGGAGGTATATACTGGACTAAATGGTGGCGAGGCTCAGAGCTGGGCAGGGCTTGAGGGCTTTGTGCTTGTGAAAGGGCTTTAAGCACTTTGAGGGCTTAAAAGCCCTGTGCTACAAGCCCTTCTATATATTTGTAATTGGGGCTTGCAAAGTCAATTACTCCAGAAAAGTGCTTGGTAATTTGTAATTGAAAAAAGTAATTCAAGCCCTTTCAATGAGCTTCAATTACTTTTAGAGGGCTTGAAGTACTTTTGGGGGCTTGAAGCACTTTAAAAGGACTTGAAGCACTTTAAAAGGGCTTGAAGCACTTTGAAAGGAATTTGGAATTGACCATCATTTAACCTATCCCCCACCTAAAAATTTTCGATGTGTTTTGTCGTTTCTTGTTTCTATTATTTGAATTAGAACCGTCCAATGTCTTTTCTCTCTTAACAATGGAGGTTTTGGGTTTCAGCTCAGAATTGAGTTAAAAAAAATGAATGAAATGATTATTCAAATAAATAATTAATTTATATTGGTACCCTATTTAACTTTATTACTGGATTTTTTTTCACTTTTCTTCATTAAACATTCTGGAAACCTTAAAATTGAATTACCATGTAGTACCCCAACTACCCCAAGTACCCCAGAACTACATCTCAAAAAAAAATACTGCTGCTACTCAATGAAATTTAAAGTTCATTACTATACTAATTCAACTGATAAGTGTACGTGGTAGCTTATACCACTTTGAGAATTTTATTACAAATTCAAAGTGCTTTAGGCAACATTGAAAGAGCTAGGTACATTTATAAAGAGCTGAAAGTACATTTAAAGAGCTTGAAGCACATTTAAAGAACTTCAAGCACATTTGAAGAGCTTCAAGCACATTTAAAGAGCTTGAAGCACATTTAAAGAACTTCAAGCACATTAAAAGCGCTTGAAAGCACTTTTTAAGGCACCCCAAGCACTTTTGATGTGCTTCAAGCACTTTTCAAATCACTTAGAGGGCTTTGTGCTTGCCAAGCCCAAAGTACATTGAGGGCTTTGTGCTTGTGAAAATAAAAAGAAATTTGTGCTTGAAATTGAAGCACTTTGATAAAGGGCTTAGGGCTTAGTGCTTCAAGCCCTTTTACTGAGGGCTTTGCCCAGCTCTGGCGAGGCTGTCGCGGTAGTATTTTGTGACTTTTCCAAGACGTTTGACTGTGTGGATCATGAAATACTGCTGCGTAAGCTTCAACACTATGGATTTAGGGGTACCGAACAAAGGTATATACACTCTTATACTACTCAGAGTCCAGAGAAAACTAAAACAAATAGTTGAAGTGGTGGAAAGCCAATCAAATACCCAAATTATCAACAGCTGGCCAGGGGCGTTCAACAGGGATCAGTACTTGATCCTATATACTGTTTAACGCTTATTATATCTTAAAGATGTTACGAGAGTCTCTATAAGGGGTGCTTTTACTGTGTTCGCGGATGACAAAACAGTGCTGTGGAGAGGAAAGAACGTAGACGAGCTAAAGGACATCATCAATGAAGATATGGACTCTTAAGTAATGTGTTTTAGAACTGTATTGAAATATTTAATAAAAAATCTCAATAACGAATCTTTTCAATTGTTGTACCAACATTAACGGGTCAATTCTGTGCACATCTGTAAGCAACTATCAGTTTCTATAAGCCTATAGACACTACAAAACGCATCGATTGCCAAACACTCCATCAGAAAAATATACGATCCTATAATATATTCTGTAATCTCTACAGGAAGTGCAGAATTACAAATTGTCTTTAGGCATCTATTTATAGGCTTATAGAAATTTATAGAATTGCTTACAGGTGTGCACAGAATTGACCCATTGGTTATTGGAAATCTCAGAAACTGTCAAGATACAGGGTATTGCTACAGAAAAGTTTCATGTGCTAATCAATAATTTTTATTTAATTATCTAGGAATGATTCCAATGAAGAATTCAGGTTTGTTTTACCAATACACAATAAATATTGAGGTACTTGGACTATTTTAATAATAAAAAACTGTATAATATTAGTTGATAAGAGATCCAATGCGAAAAACAAGTAATTTCCTGGTTTTTGTTGGTTTTCCTACAAATTTCGCATACAGCCCCAAAACATCGTTCTAATCACTTTTTTCAAATAACTTTTTTCGAAATTTTGCAATCTAACCCCACTTTTCGCGTTTCCATATCTAAATTTTCGAATTTGCCGCCACAACAGTGATCACGTGACCAATGCAGGATCGATCGCACATGAGAAAAAATTCCATATCCTACAAATAAAAAAAATTCCCATGTGCAGCGAAAATTATGGGGGACACTGTATGAGGCGTTTTAGTGTGATATGTAACAAAATTTAATATTTGTTAATAAGTTCAAATACTTCGGACAATAAAAGCACAGTTCTATTCTAT